AGATAGATAACCTTTATTTTAAAACGATGAGTATTAAAGCTACATGAGCTTGTGGGGTCGTTTGCAATTAACTAATCGCTAAGTAACTAAAAACTAAAACCTAGGGGTATTTACAGAAAAAACGTTTGAACTTAAGTCAGTGTAATGGTACAAGTGCTGTAATTAGCACTTCTCCCGTAACGAAAATTACCTACACTCCCCTCCCTAAGGAGAAACACATGATTAACCATTTCCCCTGACAAAACTACCTACCTACCCACCCCTTACTATGTATTAATTTTCGATGAGTAAGAATTACATATTTTGACACAATTCACCTACCCACCCCTCCCAAAAAGAAAAAACTACCTACCCCAACCTACCTACCCCTCTCTAAGGAAGACCATATGATAAACCACCCGTCTGACAAAGCTACCTACCCACCCCTTAAAAAATACTCCAAAATTTAGTCCAAGAAATAGTCCAAAAAATAGCCCAAAGGCCCAAGGGTCCAATGGTCGAGTCCATATTTTACCCTATGCCGCATATGGTCCTGTCCAACAAATAAAAGCTAACCGCAAGCAAATATAAGTGAAGAAACTAGCCGCAAGCAAACAGTGCATTCGGCATTCTGCAAATTAGCCCTGCCAGCTCAAACGCGAAACGTTAAGAAAACGTTAAACGTCAATGCAGACTTCAGCTTGAAAAATAATTTGACTCAAAATCACAGGTATTGAAAAGCTCATTACACGTGTGTAGCATGAGCCCGTGTGCATGGTTAATATAAATTTCTTTGTTAGTTTAGATTCCACAGAGTATCAGTGTATATAGGCGTGAGATCCTGGTATTATTTCATCGATTGATGAAACCGTCGGGATCATGCTTGCCGATAAATTCTACCGAGGATGTTATGTAATCGGTTGAAGTCCCTCGCTAGACATAATGCAATAGCTAGTTAAAAATTTCTTTTGTGTTTGCGGTCGCTTCATTCTGGGATTACAGTTGGTATTAGTATGCGATTCAACGCAGTAGGGACATAAATATGATGTGAAATGCAAATCACTTACCTGACAAAAATCAGCTAGAGATAGTGGCATATATACTACATCAAGGTCTATCGTGATTGTCACGCGATCTGTTCTCGTGGCCCAAAACTATCAAGGCAAAACAAAAGGTTAAAGAAACTAACTCACGGCAAGACAGATTTCTGACAGGAACAAAAAGTCCATTTGCGGTAAGACCATTAAATTTACTCACAGCAAAACAGAATCAACTCACGGCAAAACTAACTTAATTCACGCGGGACTCGCCGTTCGCTTTTCGATCACTCACGCGGCAAAACAAAGAAAATAGTTGGTCAGCGGTTAAATTTGCACATTAATGATTCTTCGTGTGTGAAGTTAACGAATAACTCGCTCGGAACTGCCATTTCCTAGCCTGTGTCACAGCCGCCTCTCCCCGGAAAAAAAAATTCTCTCTCCGATTGTTTTTTTCCGGGGAGAGGCGGCTGTGACACAAGCTACCATTTTCTCGCAAATTGTCGTCCATATTCGTGGCAACGAGTGTCCTTATTGCCTCAATATGGGCCATCCTTCTGATCCTTCTTCAGCCACATGACTTAGGTGATTAAAGACGGTTGGCTTGGAGGTGCAAGGTCAACGTGGAGTGCTAGAAAGGGGATAAGTGCCGGGGGGGAACTCCCATATAAAAAGAACGGGGGTGTTTGTCGTACCTTTTAAGGGTTTAAAAAGCAGTTCCTCTTGGGGTGTTCAGCCTCAAATGCTTCACAGCGGGAGCCTTTGCGGTACCTTGCAGGGTACTGAGCCGAAAAAAAAAAATGACTGGAGATAATTTGTCTTAGAATTGGTACCTCTTAGGGGTGAAAAAGAATTGAAGCCACGCCCACAAAACAGGATCTTCGTACCTCTTAGGGGTTCTTTTTAAACTTTTCGATGAGCACCCACGTCCTAATTATACGGGAGTTCCCCCCGGTACTACAAATGATCCCATACGTATTTTAAGCTCTTTCATCCGACAATGGAAACAGTAAGTTGAAAATCGAAAACCGGAAACCAGAGTTATTGAAATTGAGAATGACAACAGAAGTTCCTAGTAGTCTACGGACTTGAAAAATTGTTTTTCTATCTAACATTGATAGTGCAAAGGAGAAATGTACGAGTGAGCAGAAAACTTTGCAGGTCCAGGCCTGCGGGCCTTGTACTGGTGGAAAGACTTGAAAGAATTGAAAATCGATATTCAGAAACGGGAGGAGAAGACTAACGATTTACTCACGCTCTACAAATGTCATTTGTTCTTTTGGAGAGTTAAAGCTATAAGAACGAAACTAGGATGATTTACAAAGTACTTTCCCTTTCTCATTTTCCAGACCGAAGTTTGTCTTCATTATAGGTAGGCATTTAAAAGATACTTTGCAAAATAAGTAAAGGCTTTAACCTGAAATTATGTTTCATACAATCTTAAATGAAAAGATGGTCAACCGGAGAACTGATCGTCGAGGGAGATGTTACATTAAGACACCATAACGGTGACTCGAGCGAGGGGGCGTCGGACGATATCGAGACCACAATAGAAACTAAGGGGGTACGATGTGAGGCATGTTTTTCACGTACTTATAACAGCATATTTCTAAGCGAAGAAAACGTCTACTATAATATAGCTCAGACTACAGCGATGACAGCAGAAAATTACACAAATCACCAATACCGTTACTTAGTTTACTGTGCGTTGAGTAAAATTTTGTGTGCAGCGTAATTTCGCTTAGCGATATATCGCTACGCAACAATATCTCGATGACCAGAAGCGATATATCATTTAGCTGTAGCGATATCTCACTGACCGAAAACAGTATATCGTTTAGCTGTGGTGATATTTCGCTGAACAAGAACGATATATTGCCAAGCTTCATCGATATTAAACAAGCTGAACACTGCCAGTGCACAGGAAAATATCGCAACTGTTACAACAATGGCTCCGCGATATTTCGCGTGATATATCGTTTCAAGCAAAATATCATTCAAATATCGCCGAAACATCGCGAATATCGTGACATTAATCGATTATCGTTTGCATTAATTTTGCACAGTACTGTAGAGGTTTCCCCATTAATCGTTCGAAATTGTCCTTTTAGACGGACACCTTCCTGAAGGAAGTTACTGATAGTTTTATCGTAGGCAGTTACATTAAACTGTTCGTTCTCCTTCTCTAATTGGAAACGTATTTTTTAGTCAGCAAATATAAACGAGCGTTGCTCTGTTGCATGATGTTATGAACCACAAGTTTAGATTCTGTATTTCCAGTTATTCTTCCTCTGCAGTCTAGCCTTAAAGTAGCAAGTCTTTGACGTTTTTCAGCAGTTGTACAGATCTTGTTACTGGTCAGGAGATATGTTATTCAGCAGGTGTAATGGTTGCGTTCAGTGAGGTGTTCGGCTTTTTTTCCCACAAAACGATTTAACCTTGCAGTTACTGTGTGTATAAAAGTGACCTTCCTGGATTTGATCTATGGTGGTCTTCCCATACTGAAATCTGTATGATTGAGCTGAATCTACTAATTTTCCGTCTCTGACTGTTTTTGGAGTTGTTTGGTGTTTTCGAGTCTATGGAAAGCCAACTAAAAGCGTAAAACTTTGTAACGCCTGACAACAGAATCTTTGAAACAATTGTCTTTTCTATTTGCAATAAATGTTATCTCAGTCAGGCCCTTTGCAGGGCAGGAAATAATATTTTGAAATCCAGTTGCCCAGTGAGCCCGGACATTTCAGTTGCCCCCACTAAACTATTACTTGCCCAATAAGCGTGTAATGTTCATGTGTTTCTATAGATACCGTCTATAATCAAGTATGCTTGGATTTTAAATTAATCCATTGCTATCAACTCATTGTTTTGCTCATCTTGCAGTCTTAAGTCCTGAAGTTGTTTTTGACTGGAAATTATCACTAACAAGATTGCTGAGGCTAATGTCACTTGACCACCAAACTTCCATTTTCACTTGCCCAAGAGAAAACATTTACTTACCCC